CAAAACTGGATATCAACATGTAGAAGGCTGCAAATAGATCCATATCTATCACCGTGCACAAAACTTAAGTCCAAGTGGATCAAGGACCTCAACATAAATCCAGCTACTCTGAACCTGCTAGAAGAGAAAGTAGGAAGTAGTCTTGAACGCATTGGCATAGGAGACTACTTCCTAAATAGAACACCAGTAGCACAGACTCTGAGAGAAACAATCAATCAATGGGACCTTTTGAAACTGAGAAGCTTTTGTAGAGCAAAGGATACGGTCAACAAGGCAAAGCGACAGCCTACAGAATGGGAAAAGATCTTCACCAACCCCACATCTGACAGAGGACTGATATCCAGAATATATAAGGAACTCAAGAAATTAGACATCAAAATGCCCAACAGTCCAATTAAGAAATGGGCTATAGAACTAAACAGAGAATTCTCAACAGAGGAAACTCAAATGGCCGAAAGACATTTAAGGAATTGCTCATCATCCCTAATCATCAGGGAAATGCAAATCAAAACAACTCTGAGATACCACCTTACGCCTGTCAGAATGGCTAAGATCAAAAACACTGAAGACACCTTATGCTGGAGAGGATGTGGAGCTAGGGGAACTCTCCTCCACTGCTGGTGGGAATGCAAGCTTGTACAACCACTTTGGAAATCAATATGGCGCTTTCTTAGAAAATTGGGAATCAATCTCCCCCAAGATCCAGCTATACCACTCTTGGGCATATACCCAAGAAATGCTCAACCACACCATAAGAGCACTTGTTCAGCTATGTTCATATCAGCATTGTTTGTAATAGCCAGAACATGGAAACAACCTAGATGCCCTTCAACTGAAGAATGGATAAACAAAATGTGGTACATATACACAATGGAATACTACTCAGCAGAAAAAAACAATGGCATCATGAGGTTTGCAGACAAATGGATGGATCTAGAAAAAATCATCCTGAGTGAGGTAACCCAGACTCAGAAAGACAAACATGGTATGTACTCACTCATAGCAGGATACTAGACATGAAACAAGGATGAATTGTCTGCTACTCACATCACCAGGGAGGCTACCCGAAAAACAGGACCCCAAGAAAGACACAGGGATCGCCCAATGACAGAGAAATGGAATGAGATCTACATGAACAGCCTGGACATGAGTGGGGGTAATGAAAGGCGAGGGTCGAGGGAAAGAGAGCTTGGGGGAGCGGGAGATCCCAGCTGGATCAACAACAGAGAGGGAGAACAAGGAATAGGAGACCATGGTAAATGAAGACCACATGAGAACAGGAAGAAGCAAAGTGCTAGAGAGGCCCACAGAAATCCACAAAGATACCCACACAACAGACTGCCGGCAATGGTCGAGAGACAGCCCGAACTGACCTACTCTGGTGATGGGATGGCCAAACACCCTAATTGTTGTGCTAGAAACCTCATCCAACTACTGAGGGATCTGGATGCAGAGATCCATGACTAGGCCCTGGGTGGATCTCTGGGAGTCCAATCAACGAGAATGAGGAGGGTTTATATGAGCGAGAATTGTTGAGACCAAGGTTGGATAAAGCACAGGGACAAATAGCCAAATGAATGGAAACACATGAACTATGAACCAATGGCTGAGGGGTCCACACTGGATCAGGCCCTCCGAATGGGTGAGACAGTTGATTAGCTTGATCTGTTTGGGAGGCATCCAGGCAGTGGGACCAGATCTTGTGCTCATGGCATGAGTTGGCTGTTTGAAACCTGGGGCCTATGCAGGATTGTTTGGCTTGGCCTGGGAGGAGGGGACTAGACCTACCTGGACTGAGTCTACCAGGTTGACCTCAGTCTGTGGGGAAGGCTTTGCCCTGGAGGAGATGGGAACGGGGGGGGGGGGGGGGGGGGCGTTGGGGGGAAGGTGAGGGGGACGGGAGGGGGAAGAACAAGGGAATCCGTGACCGATATGTAGAACTGAATTGTATTGCAAAATAAATTAAATTAATAAAAAAAAAAAAAAAAAACAAAAAAAAAAAAAAAAAAGAATGACATGCCTTATATAATTCCTTCAGTACAATATGGGATGTTTGTTGTTGTTGTTGCATTCCTGTTTGGAGTCTAAAAATAGCTGTTTAACATTATCTCTCAGAACTTCATAATACGTTCTATGTTCAGTCATAGGTATCCTAAAACTAAATTCATTTATCAGTGTGAGAAGACAAATGTGACGAGCTCCTAGATATCACATGCTTGTTACACACATGAATGAATAGTAACTGTGGTCATATGTAAGACTTCAAAGAGATCAAGAAAGTAAGCACTTTTAGCATGGAAAGAGTGATTGTTTCATGATGCTCACAGATAGTTAAGGGGTTAAGGTTTTTTATTATTTGATTTTATTCTTTTTTAGAAAATTTAAATTTATACAATGATGAATGAAAGTCAAAGACATCAAGATAGAAATAAAACTAACACTAAATAGGCTAGATATGGTAACAAATGGCAAGGCAGGATATGCCTTATCTGCAGTAGTGGCACAAATGTTATATTGGTAACCAATTACTTTCTTATTGGATTTAAGGTGTACTCAGTAGACAGACATGCATTCATCGTGATATAATCTGGCCAGGATCCCCAAGGGGAATCACTCCTATTAATCATCTAAGTGAATATAGTATCAAATAATCCTCTAAATTCATATATTCATATCCCCTGGTTAGTGCGACTCTAGACTTCATCAGAGAAGCATATTTGTGCAGTGGAAAGTCATTAACACAGATACTCAGAACTCATCAGAGTGCAGAGAAAAATGTCAGTGGAATGCTCAGCCACATATGGAATCTATATCAACCCACTGGCATAGGCTCAGGCACCATCATGAAAGAAGACAAGAACAGATTTTCAAAAATCAGAGGTTAGGGACCAGTTGATCAAAACAATGTATTCTGGACTTAATAGGACTGCTGCACTCATGAACTAATACAAGCTGTGTTTACAGCACAAAGCCTGTAGAAGATCAATCCATTCAATCTACAATGGAGATGGGAGTGACTCCTTAAACCCCATGGCTAACTGAGAAGCTACTGAAATGTGAAAGCCTCCAGAAGAAGGAGAATCAGTTTTTATTCAGGGTATGGCACCTGCTAGATCAACCATGTTGCAGTAGATGACCTCAAAGCCATTAGTATATGGGTAATGCCTAGGGAACAGTGGCTTACATGAAATAGATAGGAAAAAAGGTTAGAGTTAAGGCAAGATGGAGCATGGATCTGGGAGTATTTGGTAGTGAGAATGATGGAAATATAAGGGATTATATACTCAAAAATTTAATTAAAACATTACATAGAATTGAAATTCAATAAAAATGTGTAGATATATGCAAAAGCCAAACCCACAGAATGCCACAGCATATCAAATAACATTATTTAGTAGAAAAAGAAGTCCATCTGGAGAAAAATTTAAACTTCAATTCTAAGAGAACAAAATCACAAATTTTGAATTTTCCATAAAATGTGAAATAGTCTAATCATCCATGTTTTGAGTTTTATATAACGCATAGATTCTAGTTAGTGAGATGTAAATACATGGTTCATTTCTGCCAGAAACAATTTTCTCATTCATGAGCTCCTTTAAAGTTTCATGTCATCAGCCCTCTATATCTCGTATATAGATATACATGGGTAAAATTTAACGAGAAGATCCACATATTAGAGAGAACACTCTGTATTTGTTTTACTGAGTCTTGGTTCCTCACTCAATTTTTCTGTGCCATTTTCCCCTTGAAGTTGCATTTCCCCAATGGCTAAGAACGTTGAATATTTTAATTTTTCTCAGTCATGAGTATTTCATTTCTTGAGAAGTCACTAGATATGTAACTCCATTTTTAACTGGTTTGTTTTCCTCATATTCATCTTTCTGGGTTCTTTGTACATTCTAGAATCTAACCATTCTGCTAAATAATTGATCAAGATTTATCCCCCCATTTCATAGGGTGTCACTTTTCTCAAGTGAGGATGCCCTTTGCTGTACAGAAGCATTTTTAGTTCCATGTGGTTCCTTCTGTGAGCCATGAATATTAATGTCTGTGTTACCAGGGTCATTTTCAGAAAGTCTTTTCTTGTGCCAGTGTAAATTTCTTTCACATTCTCATTCTCTCTAATCTCAACCCAGGGTATCTGGTTTTCTGCTGAGGTTCTGGACAATTCAGAGGGATAGTTGCAAAAGCTTGTTGCAACATATTACTCATGGTTTATTGAAGCAAACTTTCCTCAAATTGAGAAGAGTACAAGTGATGATGTAAAAATTGTTTTAGGAAGTTCTCAAGTAACTGGGAGTGAGATTTTTGAACAGCTCTAGGAACATGTATGGAATCCAAGTTTCTAGGGTAAGAGGACATAGCTAAGAATTGAAAGGATTTGAGGAGGAAGTAAAGGCTTACAGACACTCAGTAATATGTCCCTACAGAATTAGTTTGCAGTATCTCAACATCATACCCTATACCCTATATCTCTGAGTATATACCTGCCAAGGCAATATATGGTAGAGGAATGGAGGAAGATACAGCAGGACTTTGGTTTCCAATCGCAGACAGTACTACTCCTAGGAACCAGTTATAGTGGACCAGTGTGTTAGAAGCCAAAGATAAATATTTTTTTAAACTTTGAATATGATGTGTGTGACTTTGGAATCTGTTTGTCACCACTGATTGATTAGTGAAGTACATCTCTATGAGATTCAAAATTTAAAATCAGGTCTAAACCAAGTGGAAAAGAGAATACATTTTTATTTTGTAAGCAAATTAGTAGTGCAATAGGAACAAAGTAATAAATAGTACATATAAATGGAGGAAACAAAAATGCAACATGTACTTCAAAATTAAAAAAACTCTGATGGGTGTTGAAAAAATGAGACTAAAATATTTAGATCAAGAATAAAAACTCAGGCTCTCGAGTTCTAAACTATAACCTATATGTGACTATTCAAAGGCTGTAGAACAGAGTTCAGGATTTCTATTTAATTTCAGAAACACTTGAGCTAAGTATCAAAGGGGATTTTCTTCCTAGAGTGTGTTTTGTCCTTGATATGATGAAGTAAGTTTCTTTCTGGCCTTAACAACACAATGTAGCACTTAGGGGCAAAGATGAGGCCCAGGATCCCTGAACTGGAAGCCAAGATAGAGGAGACTTCCAGAGCCACCATGACCTTCCCCTTGGTGCTGTGGTAGACAGGGAGGAAGGTGACCCAGACACTGCAGAACACCAGCATGCTGAATGATAGGAATTTGGCCTCATTGAATGTGTCAGGCAGATTCCTGGACAAGAAAGCCATCAGGTAGCTCCCTAGGGCCAAGAATCCCAGGTATCCAAGGATGCCATGGAAAGCAATAGCTGAGCCCTTGTTACACATGACGATGATGTGTTCATGTTCAGAGTGAGCATCTGTGTCAACAAATGGAGGAGAGGTCGCCAGCCATATTCCAGAGAGAAGAAGTTGGATTGTGGTGCAGAGTGGAATGATGATGTTAGGAGTCCTTGATATCATTAACCTTCTCATCATACTTCCCAGAGCAGTGACCTTGAAGGCCATGACTACAGTTACAGTTTTGGCCAATACAGTAGAAAGAGCCACAGTGAACAGAAGTCCAAATGTGTTCTGCTGAAGGATACAGGTGGCTGTGTTGGGATGGCCAATGAAGAGTAAAGGACAGAGAAAACAGAAGGTCAGAGTGATCAGCAGGATGTAACTAAGAGCCCGATTATTGGCCTTGACAATGGGAGTATCTCTATGCTTCACAAAGACCCCAAGGACAATTGCTGTGAGTGAGGAGAGGCCCAGGGACATGGAGGTGAGTGCCTTTCCCAAGGGATCATCATAGTTCAGAAAGGTCACAGTCTTCTGGAAGCAGTGGTTCTTCTCTGTGTTTGCATAGTGACTCTCTGGACACTTCATACACTGATCCATATCTGGTAGAAATGAATGTAATCAAAAGCACATGCTCAGGTTGTCCTTTTAACCTCCCCAGGCAATCTCCAGCCACCAGTTCATTGAACCATCTCCCTTAGCTTGAGGCACAAATACTTTCTGGATAAATATTCTGAAGTCATAGATCCATTCTACTTCCTAAGTTACACAGCCCTAATGCTTCTTTCTCTGTTATATGCACATGCACCTGTGCATGTACACACACACACACATGCACACACACACACACACACACACACACACACACACACACACACACACTCACACATTTGACTTATATGATATTGTTTGGTTTTGATTCCTTAGGGTACTGAATTACATTTCTTGAATCTAGTTTGGATCTGATAACAATATTTATAAACTAAATCTGTGTCCTTAATAGGACATGAGACTTCAGTATGACTGAGAGAGTGTCCTTTGCAAACCTTTTAAAATGTTGTACTCAAATATGCCTGAAATGTATCTATATTCACAAAGTCCATTGTGTCACACAATTTGTTCATTCTTTGAAATGCCCTGTATTTTAACATTTACAAGGATGAAGCACTTCAACAGTGAAAACATTTCATGATTGTTTAATTCGCTTTCTATTGATACATCCTTTTAGTAGATTATCAAATTTATTTTCCATAGAGTCAACTTTCTCTTTGTGAATATTATGTTTTTCTTTCTGTATTCTTTAGCTCTCCTACAGTCTTCATTTTATTAAATCACACTTTCACTATATTTTCATTCATCTCTCCACCATTACCTCCCCCCTCCTTTCTTCAGTGTATTAATTTTGCTCTTCCTGTCATTGCTTATACTGAAAGTTTCATAAATAGGCTGTAACGTCTTGTTTATTAAAGGCATATGACATATAAACCATTAAATCACTTTATGTTGGATTAAACATTTCCTTTTAGAGACACGTTTCACTTACTTAACAGTATTTGTCAACTAATAATTGATTCAGTTTTAAAGTGTCTAACATTTGTGTATTAATCCATCCCTAATATTACAGAGTTTTATAAAAACTAGTTCTTAACGTATACATGTAGGATTTGTTTGTGGTAGTGGAAATATTCCTTCATTATGTGAATGCTCAAGCTCTTAAACCAAACACATATCCAATGTGAATATTCAAGTTAACTATGGGCACTGTATCTTATCTTTCTAAATCTATTCAGATCCTAACAAAATCTGAATCACCTTAATATTATTATGAAAGTATTACAAATATAAATAAAATCACATTTAGAACATCTCTATTATAAAGTTGACACCTGTAAATATGAGTTTTTTCCATGTGATAATTATGAATTATTATTCAGGGATAAATAAACAGTACCATTAGTAATATAGTTGCCAATTATTGTGAATCATTTCTGCTTCCATCTTCCTGTTCCATACACACAAAGATATCAATGCTCCTTCTCACATGCTCTGGATTTAGTGTCTTTGTTTTGCTCCCTGAATTTATTGTGCCACCAGGTTTCTCTGTTTTGTTAATACTGGCCTTAAAATGATGATCTTTACACTTAATTGTCCCAAGTTTCTGTAACTACAGGTAGATGAACTATGCCTGGCTTATTCACTTCATTTCTTTTAAGCAAACTACTCATGTGCCATGTTTTGAAATTTCAATTACTTGTCACAAAAACTATTTCTCAACTTGGGCATTTTATGGATAACAATACTCATATTAATGTTTGTGAATTATAAGCCTGTGAATAGTGCTACTAATGATAATTTCACATTCTTCCCACTTTGGAAAACTCCATCATGTAGCTGAGATTCATCATAAATTTTCCATAGTGATGAACTTCTATAATGATGAATTAATACATTCAACTTATTAATTAATGTGCAAGTACTTATTGTCACTCTTCTTGTGAACAGAACATTTTGTTATATCCAGTACTGTACTCTGTGAATTTTCTAGGCTTTTACAGACCTTAAGTCTCACCATGTGGTTAATTGTTTGAAAGAGAATGACCACCACAGGCTCATGCATTTGAATGTTTGGTTCCCAGTAAGTAGAACTATTTGGGAAGGATCAGGTGATGAGGCCTTGATGGAGTAAGTGTGGTCTTGGTGAAGGATGTGTGTCACTGGTGATGATGGGCTTTGAGGTTTCAAAAGTGTTTCAATCTCACACTCTCCATGCCTCCTACCTGTGGATCATGATGTAAAACTCTCAGCAACTAGTGCAGTGCCATGCCTGTCACCTTCCTGCCATGATCAAACTGGTCTAACCCTCAGAAACTTTACCCCAACAAGATGCCTTCTTTATAGAGATGTCTTAATTGTGGTGTTTCTTCACAGCACTAAAACAGTGAATAAAATACTAAGTTTACTGCATACTGATACATAATCTTGACTTTATTGTATAACATGTTGTTTATTGTAGAGGTGGAAGAGGTGTTGCAGGTGTTATAAAGGAGGAAGAAAACAGAGGAGAAAACATGTTCATTATAGGACTGTAAAAATTTAGTTTTGCTGGATGGCAAATACACACACACACACACACACACACACACACACACACACACACACACACACACAGTCTTTCTCATGTACTGTGTTTCCAGATTCATGATGGGCATTATATATTTAGAAATACAAAAAGGAAAAGTCTTGACTCCTGATTATGATCAAAATATGATTTAAAAATCATGAAGAGATGGTACTGTGTGTTCAAGGTCATTGTGCAGCAAAGCCTACCACTCTGGTGTGGGAAGAGTTTTCTGTAGGCAGCCGTGCTTACAATGGATCAAGATCATAAAGCACATCATAATTTCTGTGTCAAGACTGTGTTATTTCAGGGAAAATATGATGACCTATAACTTGTGATTAACTAACATAAAAAAGAAGAGAATTATCTCTAAATTCACTTAGAGGTGTAAATTTGCTTAGATACTGCAGAGGTGGACTGGTGGAAACATCCTTGGCGTGAATGATATTTACCAGTCTCATTGGAAATCTCATTCTGTGGGCAAGGTGTGCAGTCAAAGCAACAGGCAGCCTTGCCTTCCTGGGGGGTCTTCCTGAATCCAGAACCACAGCTCTCACTGCATACAGACTGAGGATTCTGAGAAAAATGAAATAAATGTTAGGAAATGCTCAGGATTTAATTGAATCTCTAAACCTAGAGGGCTTTAATATATAACATTAATTTGGTAATTTAGATATTTGCAAATGAAGGTGATTGTGCTGTTACTACTAGGGTAAGTCATACACAGGGTCGTGTGGTCAATGGTTGGTAGGAAGGCCACAAAGGTTTTCTAGTTAAATCTGAGCTTGCTTTACACAGTAGGGGTGCATGAGGCAATGGCTTGACCATGTGCAAGGTCTCCAGGTGTTTGGGATGGCCTACACTTGACTGTGCTAGGGGAGGGGACTTTTGTCTCACCCCTGGGCATTTTTCAATAAATATTTTTCTTTTATAATTAATTTAATTTTATATATCAGCCACAAATTCCCCTGTCCTCCCTTCTCCTACCCCCCAACCTTCCCCCACAATCCACCCCCCATTCTCACCTCCTCCAAGGCAAGGTCTTCGCTGGGGATTAAGCCCAGCCTGGTAGGTTCAGTTGAAGCAGGTCCAGTCCCCTCCTTGGTGTGAGACACCAAGGCTAAGCAAAGTATCTCAGCATAGGCCCTAGGTTCCAAAAAGCCAGCTCATGCACCAAGGACAGTTCCCGGTCCCACTGCCTGGGGGCCTCCTAAATAGTTCAAGCTAATCAGCTGTCTTACTTATCCAGAGGGCCTGGTCCAGTTCCATGGGGGCTCCTCAGCTATTGGTTCACAGTTCATGTGTTTCCATTAGTTTGGCATTTTGTCCCTGTGCTTTTTCCAATCATGGTCCTGACATCTCTTGCTCATATAATCCCTCTTCTCTCTTGCCGGTTTGACTCCTGGAGCTCCAGCTGGGGCTTGGCCATGGATCTCTGCATCTTCTTCCACCAGTCACTGGATGAGAGTTCTATCCTGACAGTTAGGGTGTTCGGCCATCCAATCACCAGAGCAGGTCAACTCAGGCACTCTCTCGACCATTGCCTGTAGTCTACAGTGGAGGTATCTTTGTGGATTTCTGGGGCCCTTTCTAACACTCTGCTTCTTTCAATTCCCATGGGGTCTTCATTTATCATAGTGTCTCTTTCCTTGTTCTCCCACTCTGTTCCTGATCCAGCTGGAATCTCCCGCTCCCCTAAGCTCTCTTTCTGCCAACCCTTGCCCTCCATTAATACCCCTCAATCACAGTTTGCTCACGTAGATCTCATCCATTACACTGTCACTGGGCAATCCCTGAGTCTTTCTTAGGGTCCTCTTTACTAGGTAGCCTCCCTGGATTTGTGAGTTGCAGTCTGGTTATCCTTTGCTTTGCATCTAGTATCCACCTATGAGTGAATACATACTGTGTTTGTCTTTCTGAGTCTGGGTTACCTTACTCAGGATGATATTTTCTAGTTCCATCCATTTGCCTGCAAACCTCATGATGTTGTTGTTTTTCTCAGCTGAGTCATACTCCATTGTGTATATGTACCATATTTTCTTTATCCATTCTTCAATTGAAGGGTATCTAGGTTGTTTCCAGGTTCTGGCTATTACAAATAATGCTGCTATGAACATAGTTGAGCATGTGTACTTGTGGTATGATTGAGCATTCCTTGGGTATATGCCCAAGAGTGGTATAGCTGGGCCTTGAGGAGGACTGATTCCCAATTTTCTGAGAAACTGCCATACTGATTTCCAAAGTGCTGTACAAGTTTGCATTACCACCAACAGAGGAGGAGTGTTCCCCTTGCTCCACATCCTCTCCAGCATAAGTTGTCTTCAGTGTTTTTGATCTTAGCCATTCTGATAGTTGTAAGGTGGTATCTCAGAGTCATTTTGATTTGCATTTCCCTGATGACTAAGGATGTTGAACAATTCCTTAAATGTCTTTCAGCCATTTGAGATTCTTCTGTAGAAAATTCTGTTTAGCTCTATAGCCCATTTTTTAATTGGACTGTTAGGTATTTTGATGTCTAGTTTCTTGAGTTCTTTTTATATTCTGGATATTAGTCCTCTGTCAGATGTGGGGTTGGTGCAGATCTTTTCCCATTCTGTATGCTGTCATTTTGTCTTACTGACCGTGTTCTTTGCCCTACAAATCTTCTCAGTTTCAAGAGATCCCATTTATTTATTAATTGTTTCTCTCAGTGTCTGTGCTACTGTTGTTTATATTTATGAAGTGATCTCCAGTGTCAAATATGTTCAAGATTACTTTCTACTTTCTCTTCTATCAGGTTCAGAGTAACTGGATTTATGTTGAGGTCTTTGATCCACTTGGACTTAAGTTTTGTGCATGGTGACAGATATGAATTTATTTGCAGTCTTCTACATGTTGATATCCAGTTATGCCAGCACCATTTGTTGAAGATGCTTTCTTTTTTCCATTATACAATTTTGGCTTCTTTGTCAAAAATCATATGTTCATAGGTATGCGGATTAATGTCAGGGTCTTCAGTTCGGTTCCATTGGTCCACATGTTGGTTTTTATGCCAGTACCAAGCTGTTTTTATTACTGTAGCTCTAGTAAAGCTTGAAGTCAAAGATTGTGATGCCTCCAGAGGTTGTTTCATTATACAGGATTCTTTTGGCTATCCTGGATTTTTTTGTTTTTCCATATGAAGTTGAGTGTTGTTCTTTCCAAGTCTGTAAGAATTGTGTTGGTATTTTGATGGGGATTGCATTGAATATGTAGATTGCTTTTGGTAAGATTGCCATTTTTACTATGTTAATCCTACCTATCCATGAGCATGGGAGATCTTTCCATTTTCTGACATCTTCTTCAATTTCATTTTTCAGGGACTTAAAGTTCTTGTCATATAGGTCCTTCACTTGCTTAGTTAGTGTTACCCCAAGGTATTTTATATCATTTGTGGCTATTGTAAATGGTTTAAAAAGCCCTTTAGTGAGACATAAGGGGTGTTGTGTTTGAACCCAGACCCTCCTGAAGCGATCCTATGTTTTCTATCTGTCTCTCTATATGTATACTTCTATATACAACCTCCTCATTTCTCCCTACTCAAGAGTTTCCTGGGGTAATAAGAGTGAGCTGATCTCCCTCAGGTTGGTATAGCATTCAGAGTCTCTGTGGAAACCAGTCTTTGAGCATTAATGTGAGTGGCTTTTTAGATGAGGTTGCTTGAGGTAAGAAGGCTTTCCCTAAGTGGATGTCCCCAGTTAATTGTCTGTGGTCCAAGAAGGAGTGGAAAGGTGGAAGGAATGTGGACAGCAGCAGTCAGTGGTCTCTACCCCCTGGTTGTGGATGCAATGTGACCAGCTGCCTCCACCTCCTAAAGACATGGCTTCCTGAGTGAAATGGAATACACCTGCAAATTGTAAGCCAAGGAAAATCTACCTACATGTTTTTGATAGGTAACATTTTTGAAACATTAACAACAAAAAATCCACAATTCTCATCATGTTTCTTTTGTCGTTGCAGAGTCCTAAGTGGAAAAGACCAACTTTTCCAAAATTCGTGGACCTAAAATTTTGAAGATGGAATTAAAAATCTGTCTCCTGTCAGGTGATCTGTGACAGTGGCAGAAAGCATGTTAGTGTTTCTGTTACTGCAAAACACATTGACAAAAATAAATTTGAGGATGAAAGGATTTAATTCACCTTATAGCTTACAGTCCATTAACCAGGGAAGTCAGGGCAGAAACTCAAGGCAGAAATATGGATGTAGGAACTGATTCAGAGACCATGGAGTAGTACTTCTTACATGCTTGCTTATGCCTTGCTTAGTCTGTTTCTTAGCACCCAGGAGCACCTGCCCAGGGTTGGCACTACCCATAGTGAGCTAGATCTTCTCCTATCAGCCAATGTAAAAACAGTGCAGCACAAGAGTGCTCACAGGCAAACCTAGTGAAGCCATTTTCTCTATTGAGGTTCCTTTTTCTCAAATGACTCTATATAATAGTGAGCTGACATAAAATTAGCCAAGACAGCATATTAAAATAAATATTGTTTTTATCATATGAAATAAACAAAGAAGTGTAAAAACAATGTGTATATCCAGCAGAATTATGTAATAAGACTATACATTATATTAGTGGTCATTATGTGTATATATACAGGTCTCAACAGAGCAAGGAAGATTCATGAACTCAGAAATATACTTTGTTATTTACATAGAGGTCAAGGCATGAGATAACATCCAACCCACCTCTGTAAATCCTGTGGGCCATTGTATCATGTGCTCAGATAAAGACAGCTGTTGACTCTGGGGAAGATTTGGAGAAAATGTTCCTATTTTCACACTTAGCCCAAGACCTTTTGGGAAATTCCAAAAATTGAGAATGTCATAGTCTACATCTAGTTTCCTCTTCCAGCCCAGAACCACATGGTCACCAGCAGGATTGGTATATCTGATGTTCCTGAGAAAAGGTTGAATCTAAAAGAGATGCATGATGCTATGGTAAACAGGTCTCAGGAAGGTGCAACTAAGCCAGAATTAGTTATAGTCTCCTCCTGACTTTGCTTTCTGATGTTAATAGAAACTTTAACATGGGTATTAATGATATTGAGCAAATGATGTCCTTGGAGAATAGAAACATCATTATTTTTCTAAAATGTCAATCGGTATTAGGAGGAAATTTAGAACCAAGCACATAAGGAAAGTGGATTCAGACAAATCATAGTATCTTTGAAAAGATAAACACATGTAAGAACATTTCAAAACCATTCCAATTATCATGGTATAAAAACCAATATTTTTAAGTTTAAAGAGTTAGTATAGGTGAAAACATACATAATATAAGCATTCTATTGGTTATTAATTACGTATATCTTCTGTTTCTGGTGTGAGATATGTACAGGGATTTTTTTATTTGAATATTTTTACCATGTGATGATTGTGAGGCTTCTTAGACTACAACTCAGTATGGACACTAAACAGCTTTCCCCCTTGCGTCAGGCACCTATTCATCACAGACATTGATGGCTATGATTTTAGTATTCACTGAGGAGTGAACAAGTTCAGTGTTCCCTGTGGATTTTGACAATATATTATATGATCCATAATATCTAGTTTGCATGCCTTTATAAACACTAAGAACATCACACTGTTGATACTCCATTGCTATGTAAGTGACATTACCTTCCAGGGGAAGAATACCACCTCTTTTCCATTTTCCAGTGATTGATTTTGTAATTGATTAAAAATCATCTCATGCAGACTGTGGGCCACAGCATACACAGCATTGTACACATTGTAACTCTCTTCACTCATGGCCATATCAAATATGTTCCCTGGCAAAAATCCCAAGGAGGCATTAGGCAAACAGTTATCCACAATTTTACAGTCTTTCCTCAAATAAGAGCAATTGAAGAATGAGTGCCATAATACATGAAGATAAACGTCTTCTGGATATTTAGAAGGATTGGCTGTCTGGATAAAATCTGTAAAATTATTAATCTCCTCATTATGGTGTGAAAAAATAAGGGTCCCATGCAATGCATCTAATAGGAAATAGTCATCAATTTCTGAATGATCCCATTGTGAATTCAGGACCCAGACTTTCCATGTGACTAACTTCTGCTTTATATTTACTATTAAGCTTAAGAGAGAATCAGTGTCCCCATAAATAATAATCACATTTGCTGATGATTCCAGGATCTGCACCTGATTTTTCCAGGATGTAGTCAGAAATGAACCCCTGATTACTCGGATCATTTCCACAAATGCTATGCAGACTCCATATTTCTCCAGCTCACTTCTCAAATCTGACAGAATCTGGGCACCTTTGTCATCATCTATGATGAACAGCCCAACCCAGTTCCAGTGGAAATGAAGCATCAATGATACAATGCCAAGTGTGAGAGATGTGTCCTTGGGGGCCACCTGGTACAGTGAAGAAAACTGTCCTTGTTCACTCAGGGTAGTATCAAAAGGCCCAAAACTAAGCTGTAGGGAGAAACAACCAGAAAGAACATTGTCATAAAAATCAGCTCAGTTCTACAGCAATGGTTTAAAGCCTTTAGGACAATCCTGCTTTGAAGTTCAAATCTGTCTTCCTATAGTTTTATGAGAACAGTACAATGATGTTCTTCTGTCAGCTCAGCAGCTGCACATGAATCTACTGATACTTTAATTACTGTCTTCATCGCCACAGCCCCACAGTCAGTGCCCCAACAGCCATGCAGGCTGCAGCCTGGAGGGGCTTCCAGTCCCCTGGCCTGGGTACATGGTGGCTCCTCTATGTAGGTTTAAACTAAGTCTCTATCATTTTATTATCAACAATGACTGAGAATGCGAGGGTGAAAACCTGTTAAATCATAGAGACCAAAGAGCATCCGTCTGACCTTCCTGTTTGAATGGAGACCCAGAAATAGACATGTCTCTCCATTTGTCCCAAAGAAAACAAGGAACCAAATTCCATGTCCCTCCCTACCCCTTCCTGTGCTGTCTCTCTATCTGTATTCCTGATTCATCAGAACACTCTATGGCTAATTTCATGCAACTATTTGCAGGCTCTGCCCCACTGAACCAAGGTTGATTTTACTTAATTAATGCATACACACTACAGTGTGATTAATATCCTGCAGAAATACAGACAACATTTAGAGGTTTAATAGTGGTGTGTCTACTCCACCCTTCCTTCCCCTTCTCTGTATTCTAGGCTATACAAATACAGATGTGTGAACTGTGTTGACTTTATTTCCCTATCCATGAAGAGTTACTCAAGCTTGCCCTCTTGTCCTCACAGACAGCTGAAATATCACCAAGCAGAGCTGACATCATGTCTTATCCCATCACCTTCTCTCACCTGTGGAAATTTGTAAAGATCCAGCAGTGTCGCTATGTATTCAGATATTGCCCAAGATGGTCCTGTAAGTACAGCAGCTGACATGATCTCTCTTGCACATCTGTAGTTAGGGATGCTATAGTCAGTGCCTGAAAGTGAGGCAAAAAGAGCTGCCAGAGTGCGCCTTCGACTATTTGGGACATTATGGATCTCAAATCCCAGGGATGTATTAGGTAAAAGATAGGGATTGCTATTGATTTCCTCAATGGCAAACATCATGGCCAAAATACATTGGTAGTTCCTCAACTTTAATCTGCACAGAAGGTAGAACATTATTTAGGAGGAAGATTCACACCACACAACACATAACATATATTCAAGCAAACTGAAAATAGATTTTTTTTCATACAACATATTCTAATTACAGTATCCCCTCCACCAACTCCTCCAGGTTCCCCCTAACTCCCCTCCAGCTCAAATCCACATCCTTTCTTTCTCCCTCTTATTAGAAAACAAACAGGTATTGAAAAATAGTGATAAATCCATATAAAAACAAACAAGCAAACAAACAGAAGAAAAAATCCATTGAAAATGGAACAAGAAACACAAGAGAGGAAAAGACATAATCTTCATACACAGAAAATCATGAAAACAAGAAATCAGAAACAATAATTATGCACAAAAGTCATGTAATCTTAAAAATTTAAAGTTCACAAATGCCATTGAGTGTGTTTCTTTATTTCCCATCTACTACTGAACGCGGGGCCTTCCCTTAAGAATTGTTTGTATACCCAACGAGATTCCCTTGAAGAAAACTAGCTATTGTATTTGCAACTGGGTTCGGGATGGAGGCTTATGACAAGTTGGAGTTGGCTTCTGAATTAAAGATGAGGGCTTGTGTCCACTTCCCCTCTCAGTGCTGGCAACCCATCTGTCTTAGTGGTGCAGGCCCTGTGCATCCTTCCCAGTCTCTTGAGTTCATATGTGTATCAGTCCTGCTGTGTTGACAAGGTCGTGTTTCCTCAGTGTCTCTGACTCTTTTTTTTTTTTTGGTTTTTTTCAAGACAAAGTTTCTCTGTGTAGCTTTGCGCCTTTCCTGGAACTCACTTGATAGCCCAGGATGGCCTCGAACTCACAGAGATCTGCCTGGCTCTGCCTCTGGAGTACTGGGATTAAAGGCGTGCACCACCACCGCCCGACTCACTTTCTCTCTTTACATCTTTCCGTCTCCTCTTTTTTTCGGGTTCCCTGAGCCCTGAGTGAATGGACTTTAAGAAGACATCTCATTTAGGACTGGGTGTTCCATGACTGAAGAGAACCTCTTTGATGATAACTGAGTGACACAATGATCTATGAATATAACAGAATATCCTTAGGAGACATTACATTGCTACATTTCTTTAGCAAAACTATAGTATTTGGTTTCCCCCTGGTTCCATGGCCTATATTGTCTCAAGTTCTTGACAATCTGAGATGTGTTGGTTTCCATCTCATGGAGTGACCCTAAAATCCAATCAGATATTGGTTGTTTAGTCCCACAAGCTTTGAGCCATTTTGCACTAGTATATCTTTCAGACAGGACATCGTTATAGATGGAAGGGTCTATAGTTAGGTTGGTGTTTACCTTTCTCCTTTGGTAGCATGCAGCCTGCTTTTCAGTACCACGTACACAGTGTATAGGAGCAAAGACTCTAGGTAGGCACTAGCTCAACTTTTCCATGTTCAATGAGTCCTATAGTGTCGTCTTCAGCAATAGAGCTTTACCATCAATTTGTGGAGAGCAGCCAATAACTTTGGCAATAGCCTGGATTTTTTGGGCATTTCCATGAGGCCTGTTTTGCTGACAACTGGCCTATCCCCAAACTGGAAGTTTTATTTGGTGGTGAGATATTATTGTGTTGGGGCTTTGTCTTCTTTGTTATTTGGTGATTCCCTTGGTATTTCATTCATATATGTATGTAGTTTAAGAACCTTCTACTGTATTAAGTGTCAATATGACTTAGGAGGCTCTTTGTTTTATTTCTTTAGAACTATGTAAAACCCTGAGTGTGAACTTCTCCATGACTTGAGCCCTAGGAGGGTGAGCCAAATTTCAGTTGCCTTATATTTTGATGTATTCTGTCCATGGGTTTTGATAAGGTCTTCAGACCTCTAAAATTCAACTTTCAATCTGCACAACCACAAAAAACAGAATGTTTCTTGATCAAGTCACTAGTTACTAAAAAACTGCTTAATTCAGGAGCATCCAGGCCATTCAGTGTGTCTGAACAACAATTGACATTTCAATAACAATTCATTTTTATGTGTGTTGTGTGATATGTGTATATATTTCTCTGTAGTTTGTGTGCATTCACATGATTCTAACCAGGGAAAACTTTAAATGGGAGTTGTTGTCTTCATCTGTATTTAATAACAGGTCATTTGTGGCACATAAACTTGGAATTTTCCTACTTCTACCCTTCATTTCTCCCAAAAAATAGGTTTACACATGTGCACTGCAATGCTCCCACCCATTGTTTTGCTTTTGAGACCTGCAAAATAAACTAAGTTCTTATATTTACACTGCAAGCATGTTACCTTCTGATCGATTTACTCATTCTCTTAATATTAGACACTAGTGAGGAAAATAACTTGCACTCTTTATCCACCAAATTTCCACACACATTGAAGAATATTATGACATTTCACAAGAATAATATAATATTTGGAAAGATTTGTTTCATTAAGTTTGTATTTTATACATAGTTCTTTGATTTGTGTGCCCAAGTTCATTCCCATGGTGACATGCATTTAGTGATTCATATAAATGAAATGTTATTTTCTTCATATTGCTTGGTACTGTTGAAAAGGAGATAACACCTTAAACTTATGTGATAAGAAAACAGGCTTTATTCTATTTGTCCCTATTTTCTCCTAGACTGTCATCATGAAGTCATGTTGGATTTTTGTTAGAGGCCTTACTCCATTTACCCAGATGACTCCTTTTTTTCCATTCTTTAGTGTGTTTACATGGTGTTACATTCATTGATTTAGAGATGGTGAACCAGACTGGCATCCACTGGATGAGGCTATCATGACCATGGTGTATAATCATTTTTGTATGTTCTTGAGTTCCGTTTTCAAGCATTTTATTTTTTCTATTTTCATAAGTGGTTGCCCTTTAATTTTTCTTCATTTTATAGCAGGGTGTTTGTATGTTTTTGAAATTAGGATAATACCACCTTCCCAAAAGAAGTGTTCTTTCTTTGTCTATTTTGTATAATAGTTTGAGAAATATTAATGTTAGCTCTTCTTTGAAGGCCTGGTAGAATTGGGCACTGACTATCTCTGACTTGTGATTTTTTTTAAATTGTGATTTTTTTTAGCTAATATTTTAATCTCACTGGAGGTTATATGTCTACTTGAACTATTAACTTCATTTATATTTAATATTGGTAGGTTATATGTTTATTTTCAAATGCATCTATTTCCATAATTTTTCTAATTTATAGAATATATGTTTTATAATTTATTCTTTTGATTCTCTGAATTTCCTCAATGTCTGTCTGTGGTAATTTGTCCCCTCCCATCTCTAATTTTATTTATTTGAATTCTCTATACTTTTTTGTCCATTTGACTAACATGCCATTGATCTTAGTATTGGCTTCATTTATTCTTTCTATTGATTTTTTCATTTCTGGTTCATTAGTTTTTGCCCTGATTTTGACCTTTATGAGTGTTGATTGTTCTTATATTTTTAAATGTTTCAGGTATCTCCTAAAGTCATTAATTTGTGATCTCTCAAAGTTTTTTTTTATGGATCCACAGTTTCATAAACTTTCCTCTTGTGGCAGCTGTCACTGTTTTCCACAGGTTTTGATATGTTATGATTTAATTTCCATTCAATTCTAGGAATGTCAATGTCCATCTAGATTTCTTCCTTCAGTCAGTTATGGTTTACTTTTGTGCAACTTGACCTTCATGATTTTGTGTTCTTTCTTTTTTGTTGTATATATCCTGATTTAGTCCATATTGTCTGACAGCATGCAGGATGTGCTTTAAATTTTCCTGTACATTAGAGACTTGCTTTTACCCTAATATGTAGTCTATTTTAGAGAAAATTCCATGGGCTACAGAGAAGAATGTATATTCTTTAGTTTTTGGTTAGAATGTTCTATAGATACATGTTAAGTCTATTTGATTTTGCAGAAGTCCATATATAAAGGATTACAAAAGAAACTTCCTATGTTAAAAAATTAATAGTAATAGTTAATATACAGGACCAAGAACGGACTTGGAAAGTGACAAAGAGAATGATCAAGTCATCTTTAAAGAGGGGCCCATTAGAATAGTAACAGATTCCTTCAGTAGAGACTACAAAGCCAGAAGAGACTGGGCTTATAAATTCTACAAGTCATGAAACAGCACTGATACTACCTCAAACTACTGTACCCAGAAAAACTATCAATCATAATGAAAGAGAAAGGTACACTTTTCAAGATAAAAATTGGTTGAAGAAATTATGACCACTAAATCAATTTTTCAAACGGCAAATGAAAGAATAGTTAGGACTGAAGCAAAGAATAAGCATATTCAAGATGGCTTAGGGAAAAATGAAGGTAGAAATGAGAAAGACCAAGTCATATTTGAAGAGGGACCCATCAGAATAGCAACAGATTTCCACAAGGGAACTCCTATACCTGATAAACACCTTCAGCAATGTGGCTGAATACAAGATTAACTCAAAAAATTAGTAGCCCTCCTATATACAAGGACAAATGGACTGAGAAAGAAATCAGGGAAATAATACCCTTCAAAATATCCACAGGTAATATAAAATACCTTGGGATAACTCTAACTAAGCATTCAAGCATTTGAAAGACAAGATTAAAAACTACAAGTCTTAGAAGAAAAAAAATTTAAAAGATATCAGAAGATGGAAAGATCTCCCATACTTTTGAATGGGTAAGATCAACATAGTAAAAATGGCCATTTCACCAAAAGCAATCTACAGATTCAATTTAAATACCCTTCAAAATTTCAAAACAATTCTTTATAGACCTTGAAAGAACAATGCTGAATTTTATATGGAAGAACAACAACAATAAAAAACCAAGCATAACTAAAGCAGTCCTGTACAATAAGAGAACTTCCAGAGATACCACTACAACTGATTTCAAGTGATACTATGAGGTGTAGTAATAAAAACTGCATGGTATTGGCATAAAAACAGACAGAATAATCAATGGACTCTAATTGAAGCCCCAGACATAAATCCACTCACTCTTGGACACTTGATTTTTCATGTAGAATCCAGAAAGACACAATGAAAAA